CCTGTCTGTGTGTGCCTGTCTGTCTGTGTGCGCCTGTCTGTGTGTGCCTGTCTGTCTGTGTGCGCCTGTCTGTGTGCGCCTGTCTGTGTGTGCCTGTCTGTGTGTGCCTGTCTGTGTGTACCTCCAGAAGAAGAAACACTACTGAGAAAACTCAGAAGGCCCTTGCATGCTGGGGCTTTAGCAATGCTCTTTATCAAAAGCTATCTACATGAGACCCCAGCATTCCTAACTCCAATCCTATTCCCCACGCCCTGAGTTCTGTGGGACTCGATTCCTAATCCCAAAAGAGGCCGGGCTTCAGTACTGTGTAGCCCTTGTCCCTAGCCCACCTGTTCCTGGCCGCAGCTCCACGGTGCAATAGCCCTCGATCCATTGATAGCTGGGGAAGTGAATAATGGTGCCATCTGGGGTGGTGACGCTGACTCGACTGCAGTACCAGGGGTCCTTGCAGAAGAAAGCGAAGCGTTCCTTGTGCAGACGCAACAGCAAGATCTCACCCAGCTCTGCTGCACAGCGCACCTTGTACTTCTGCACCTGCAGGGGTGGAGGCAGCAGGCAAGCCAGTGAGAGGCGAGGAAGTGCTGAGGCGTCTTTGCACTTATTCTGGCATGTAAGCCTGAGCGCTGGCTGATCCGTGTGGTTCCTTTGTGTGAACGAGAAAAAGAGCCTGTCTTCTTCATCCATGCTGAAGCAGGCGCCCTACTGCGTGCCTGCACGGAGTTTGGCTTGAGTTCCTAGGCTCCTTGGCCAGTAGGGCACTTTTATGTAGGGCCACTAGCAAACTATCCTAGGGGCTGACAAAGGGAGGCTGACCCCTTCCAGAGAACAGAAAATGCATGGTCAGAGCCTAAAGTCAATAGTGGGAGGAGCCAGGCCAAGCAGTGATGGTCCGCCCTTTCATCCCAGCACTCAAGAGGCAGAGGCAGTTCTGGCCAGCCTGGTCTACAGAGTGAATTTCAGGACAACCAGAGAAACCCTGTCTGGAAATAATAATAATAATAATAATAATAATAATAATAATAATAATAATAAGTGGAGGAGGAGGGGCCAAGAAGCCAGGGGAAGTCCCCCGAGCCCCTTCCAAGTGCTCCTTCTTCTCCACAGCCCTGTCTCAGAACAGTTGGCGTGGTTTATCATCACTCAAAAGGCAGGGACCACAAAGGAAGTGGTGACAGGTTATACTGAGCATCCTGAGTCCAGCACGGCCTGGGAATCCAACAAGAATAATCCTGCCCTCCATCAGGTTCCCGGCGAGGTCTGCTCCGTAGAGGTCTCCCATCTCTCCAGTGTACTCACCGATCCGGTGGCGAAATCCCTGCCCACACGATCCAGCCTCTGCTTAGGGCTCTCACCACAGGTGCCCACCAAAGTAGCGTAGATGTTGTCCAGTGTGCCAGCCTTCAGGTAGGAACCAGTGGTTACACACAGGCGGTAAACTGCCATGGTGGGTGGGACCCGACAACCCAAAACCAGAGAAGGCGAGCTACAGGTAGAACAGTGTCGTCTCCTGGGCAGAAGAAGGCTGGGGGGCTGGGGAAGGGCGAGCCTGAGGAAGGGCCCAGCTCTGGGATGTCCCTGGGCTCGCTCTCTCGCGCTCTCTTTCTGCTCTCCTTCTCTCCGGAGCTCCTCCGGTAGCTCAGGAGCACTCTCCCCGCCCAGTCTTACACCTTAGTACTTGTTTGCTTGCCTCTGACACACACAGCCGGTCCCTCTGGCTGGCTCATCCAGATGGATATCAGGAGACTGGGTCCATTGGGGAGGGAGGGAAGAAGGGAGGAGGAACCAAATGCCGAGAGGGAGACAAGGAGGAGGTGACGCGTGTGTGACTGGGACACTACCCTCTGCCCGATCAGAGGCTTGACTAATGTCCCGAGGCCCATGTTCACCCACTCCCCTGTTTCCACCCAGACCCTTTCCCTCCTATTTCCAAACCAGAAATGGGCACCAGAGCACCAGAATTCCTACATGTGAATCAGCCATGTGAATCACACCGTGCATCGGAAAGCTGCACCAATTCATAAATCACACGTGACCCCGGCAACAATCAAGTGCAGAGCACACTCATCTCAGGACGCGGCAGGTGGTCTAGCTCTCTCCATCCCGCCACCGACACACCCATTTCCTCCTCCAGCCTAGTTCCCTCTCGGTCCCCAGTTTTTGGTATTCCCGACCTCAATAGCTCCTTTGGAATAGGGCCTGCCAAGCGAACGGAGGCCCGCCCGACGGCATTTGGAGGCCCCCGTGTGACATTCTTGACGCTCCAAGCCCTCCCTCAGCCTGCCTGCTAGACCGTGGGAGGCGACCCACGTGCCCTAGGTGGCGGAGATCTAGGTCACCAGGGCCAGCGAAGAAAGATGGGCTGGACCAGGGGAACCCGTAGCCCGCAGCGGCCCCGCGTGGCCGGTCTAGGCACCTCGGGATCCCAGCCTGCGTGGCGCTCCCGCCCCTGCGACCTCCTTAGACAGACCTCTAAGGAAGGCACAGACATTAGCAACCAGGCTTCATTATGTCAGGGTCCTGGACACGAAAGTACATCCTTCCTTGTCGTTTAGGTGAGCGTGATTAGAACACAGAAAGATAGAAAAATACTCTTTTAGGCAAGAGTGCAGCCACTCGCTCAGAGCCCGGATAGCTCAGTCGGTAGAGCATCAGACTTTTAATCTGAGGGTCCAGGGTTCAAGTCCCTGTTCGGGCGCTTGGTTTTTGACGATTCTACACCTACAGAGCGCTGTTGCCTTTATGTATTACTTGACGAGAGCAATATAAAGCAAAAACGATTGCCTTCTTTTAAAAAGAGATGTAGATAAACGAATTGGGAACAGAATTTCGACCAGTGATAATAAGAGGGAGCAGCACTGTGTCTGCAAACCAGGAAAACGAGTTTATTTTTTCTAAAAGTCACATGAAGAAGAGTAAAAAGAAGTTGGTGAGGTCCCTTTTAATAGTATATTTCACTTAATACAAATACTTAAAAATTTTATTCTAACTTGAAATTGGTATTTTAAAGTCAGCATTTTAACTAAATTTTTGGTCTTTCGTAATCTTCAAGTTTAGAAGAAGCATTCCTATCCCAGGTACTCGATAACCACATCTAGTAGTTGGTTTCCTCGTGCTTTATTTCGCTTCGGTAAATGATGAAGTTGGAGTGATATGCAAAATAGGATACAGAATAATGTATATAATTTCCGAGGCGCCACCAGCAGAGGGGGTTCCATGGTGTAATGGTTAGCACTCTGGACTCTGAATCCAGCGATCCGAGTTCAAATCTCGGTGGAACCTAATGTTTTCGTGTACCATCCAAACAGATCATTTTGAAGCTTTTCATGTTGAGTAGTCTCTATCGCGGACTGTCAGATAGAACTTACAGGAAATAGTTTACTTACACTGGGATCTGTGCTGATTTTAAATGTATGACATGACATGACGTAATATATATTTCGAGACATAGTTTCAAAGGAGATCGCTTATAAACAGGTCACTTTTAAGGTTGCTTACAGATCTTGGCTATGAATACGGAACGGGTCTTGGGTTCTGTTGGCAAGAGCAAGGAAGAAGGTCAGTGGTGAAACACTAGCCAAGTCGTAAAACTGAATAAAGTAGCCTTTATTTATATAAAGGGTTCTACTACTAAGTAGAATGGGTGGCTCCGGAGAAAAACTCTGGCCTGGCAGCGGTGGGATTCGAACCCACGCCTCCGAAGAGACTGGAGCCTAAATCCAGCGCCTTAGACCGCTCGGCCACGCTACCCGCGTGAAAGCCATGATTTCCCATTCTCTTCCTAAGAGAGGAGAAGGACGCCCGCACAAAGATCACCACGCGGACCGAGCTGGATTCCGCTTGCTGTGTATTTCAAACCCGGGACGAGGAGCCCCAGAGACCCGGAACGACGCGGTCTAAAGAGGCGAAACAAATGAGCCAGAAGACACAGAGACTTACGGCAAAACAAGTTTATTGAGTGGGACCAGATCTGGGCACCGAGCAAGCCTGAGCTTGGTAACGCTAGGAGCGGGCGCCCGAGCTTTGCACCGCTGGCTGGCTCCGAGTCCGCGGCGGCCCCTCCTGCGCCTGCGCCCACCCTCGCCCCCACCCAGCTCCCGCGTGTCCCACATCTCCTGCCGCTAGCCTGAGCTTCGCCTCCAGCTCCCAGGACGCCCCGCCCACTTCCGTGCACACACTCGCACACACTCCCGCGCTACCCCCTTTTTTTTTTTTTTTTTTTCTACGCTGGTGTCCGTAAGCCGAAAGAAGGCGCCGCCCGCCATGTGGCTCTGTGGCGCAATGGATAGCGCATTGGACTTCTAGTGACGGAAAAGCCATTCAAAGGTTGTGGGTTCGAATCCCACCAGAGTCGGTTTTATTGATTTCTTTTCTGGGCTGTCATTTAAAATAAACCCACTTTGCTGTCGCGTCCGGTTTTCCACCTCGAGTCGGTCCCGCTCGGCTCTTTACTTACCTGTCTGCCCCAGGGCTTGGGCCGTGGAGAGCAGGCCTAAGGGCGGGAGAAGGGTCTGGGCAAGTGGGCGAGGCGCCGATATAGAGGCAGGCCCCTGGCTCGGGGACACACCGGGATTGAATAACCATTTTATTCCATGCACTAGGGACTCGGGAAGGGACCGGGACTGGGCTGGGGCGGAGAGGGTACAATCCTACACGCAGGGAAGTGGGGCGGGGGGACGGGACAGGAAAATATATATTTATATAGATACTCTAATATAAACCACATCTCACCCGCGCGCTGAGCCCGCGCGCCCCGCTGCCCTCCTCGCCCGGACGTCCGCCCGCCCGGATCCCTCTCCTGCCCTCTCGGCTGGAGTCTCTAACCCCACTCCCAACCCCCGCCCCAGCCCCCCAAAGCTCAGGGCCAAGGTCTCCAAAAGGCGGGCGGTGGGAGCGGCGGGGCCTTGGGCGCCCCGTCTTGTCTGTAAGGCGGCGGCGGCGGCGGCAGCAGTCCGGTGAGGGGCGCCGGCGCGCCGGAATCCCCGGCGCGAGGGGAGCAGCGGGACGGGGACCAAGCGCAGCGGGGGCTAGGGGGGCCCTGGTGCGCGGGGGGGGGCTGGTGCCGCGCGGGGCCGAGGATGGGCGAAGCGGGGTCCAGCGGTGGGCGCGGCGCTGGGAGCCCGGGCTCGACGGCCTCGGGCCGGGGCGGTTTGGGGCGCCGGTAGCCGTGCAGCGCGGAGAAGAGCTGGGAGCGGGCGGCCGGGCTGGCGTCGTGCGCAAAGGCCGCCAAGCGAAGCAGGCACTCGCGGAAACCCGACAGGTAGCAGCTGGCGAGCGCCTCGGCGTCCTGGCCTGGGGACCGGGGAGCCCCTGGTGCGGCCGGCGGGAGGACAGGCGGGCAGGGCGGGGGGCCCAACGGGGGCGGGGGGGGGGGGTGAGGGAAGGGGCGGGGCGCGGAGGTACCCAGGTCAGACGGGCGCACAGACGGAGACGGGAGACCAGATGGACGCGTAGAGACGGGGGTGAGAGAGACACAGAGACAGACACGCGCAGGTGTCATTAACCTCGCCGCGGAGCCCCGCGGGCCGCTCCCCCAGCCGCCCCCCCCGTCCAGCGCACAGCCCGCCCCTTCCCCGGCCCGAGGCTTCCGGACCCCCCACCATCCCCACCACCGCACCCTCCCTCCGCTGCCCCACCCCCCGCGCTGTACCCCGGGGCTCCACCCGGCTGCGCTCCCTCAAGTAGCCCACGGCGAACTCCAGGATCTCCGCTTTCTCCAGCTTCGGGTTCCGGAGGTTCTACAGGCGGAGGGAGGCGGGGGGCGCAGAGACAGAAAGGGGTGGGGAGAGAGGGGGAAAGTGGCTGGGGGAAGAAGGGAGGGGCGGATACGGGGGCTGCGGGCGCCCCCAGGACTCGCGACCGAATGTGGAGGTGACCAAGAAAGCCCCCCCCCTCCTCACCCCACCCCGTCCCACCCTGAGACTGTCCAACCTGAGGGAGTGGAACCGATTCCCAACACGTGAGGAGTGAGTGGGTAGGAAAACAGCAACCCGGATGGTGAAAACCACCGCAGAACTGAAGCTGGTTTATTCGAGGGGTGGGGTGGGGAGCGGGACGGGGCAGGAGGTAGAGGAGGACATTGAGAAACCCCAAGGGGGGGAAACTGAGGCACGCTGGAAGCTCAGTTTACAGAGCCAGACGGGAAACTCACAGACCCGCAAGGTGGCGAAGATCGAATTCTGAGAGCGAGAGAGGAGGGTGTGGGATGGGATTTCAAAGGCCAGGCTTGGGTCAAGGATGCCTTGGGACCAGGGTCACCACTCCAGCTTATGTCCCCACCCCGGTGGAAAGCCCTGGGACACACGTCCAGGATGCGTAAGAGCCTGGGGCCGGCGGTGGAACTGACCTGGTCCCTGGTCCTCTCCAGCAGTAGCAGCCTCAGCTCTTCCAGGCTGCGGTTGATGCGGTCCCGGCGCCGCTTCTCCACCAGCGGCTTCAGCATCTGTGACCAGCGGGGAAGGGAGAGCGGGCCGACCGGACCGGGACTCAGCGCCGCCACGCGAGCGTCCGACCCTGCCGCTGGGAAAGCCCACGCGTCCCTTTCCCCCCGAGTCCCTGGTCGCCTAGGGCTGCTCCGTGCATCCTGCCTCCTTCCCAGCGCCCTAGCGTCGGGTTCAGAGGCTCGCCCCCACTTCTCCCGGCTCCCTGCCCCTGCCCCTTCTGTGTTCCGCTTCCTCTTGTCTCCCGTCTGGGACTCTCCTCTCTCTACATCTCTATCTTGTGTGGTCTCCCTCTCCGTGAATCAGTGAAGAACTTTGGGGACACTCTTTGCCCCCCCCCCAACCCGCGCGGTGCGGATCGGAGTTGGTAGCCCAGGGTGAAAGGGAGACACACAGCACGACCACACACACCACCGCCTCTCCTCGCTCAAGCCCTTCCAGGCACGCGCCTAGAAGTCGCCACTGGCTCTCTCCTAAAATCACCGGGGCTCGCACCTCTGGAACCAACGACTCAAATGTCTTCTCTTTGAGTCAGACGTGGTTCACAGCTGCTGACGGACAGACAACGTCCATAGCTTCTCCTCCTCTTCTTCCCCCCTTCCTCCCCGGGCTCTGTACCCTAGCTTATTTTATGCGTCTGTAGCGCGCACTCCATGGCCTCGAACGCGCGGTAATCCACCTGCCTCGGCGTCCCGAGCGCTAGGGTGGGCCACGGTGCCCAAATTCTGGCACTCTCCGGCGCCCTCCAGGCCACAAGCCGCAACCCACGGTAATTTAAACCCCTAGACCTTGGCTGCCGCCGCCCACGCGAGTCGGGCTCTGACCCTGTCCTCTTCATACTTTACAGGTTCTTTGGGTCGCACGAGCGCCTTTGTGCTTTTCAGTCCTGCGTCTCCATCCTCACCCCTAACCCACAGTGTGAGGACCTGGCAGCCCTCTGGCCGGAACAGGGGACTCCCGGCTCCCTCCCTTCCCACCTCTCACCTTGGGGCCGTCCCTATTCTCAGCTCGATCCCGGGTGACCATTGCGCCTCCGGACCCTGCGGTGGACACAGCGCGCGCTCCCTAGATCTTTATACCCCGCCTCAGCAGGGTAGGAGGGATGGGACCCGGACCCGCCCCCTCCAGCTCCTGGATGCCTAGGGCCAAGACCCTGGCACGAGGCTCCCGGAAAGGCGGGGACCGAGGGGGGAGGGGAAGGAGAGGAACTGGCCCCAAGTGTGGGAAGCGAGGGAAGGAAGGGGCCACAGGCTGGTTTAAGGACCCTAAGGCTGTATAAGAAGGCGGGACCCCACTGAAGGGAGGGGACCATTCGGGGGAGGGAGTTTAAGTGAACTGGGACACAACTCGCTTGGACATGAGATTTGGGGATCTCCTAGAGGAGTAGATTTCTCGGAGGCTCACTATGGCCTCAACCACACTGAAATAAATGTTAGCACGCTGCAGCGTCCAGTCTGAATGCTGTGTCTCTTCCCCCAGTCCCCCCAATCGCTTGGGCAGAAGGAGCACCCCCTAAGGGTGCAGAGCGGGTCTGCCGGGTTCTATTGGCTGGCTGGGGGGAGGCTCACCGCTGTACCTGTCCCTTCTTCTCAGTCCCCACAATAACTCCGCTGCTTATCCCTGCAGACCTAGGAGGATCTGCCATCAGGCGGCTGTGGGTGGGGGCAAAGGAAACTTCTGGGGGTCGGGGGGAAGGATGGAGTCCTTGAAGTATAAGTAGGAGTGAAGAAACCTTTCCATTTACCAGCGTTTGCTTTAAAACTAAATTCAGGAGTATGGCTGACGGGGAAAACCTCACACAAGCGCACCGGGGTTACTTGCCTCTGGAGGCGATGGGTGACGGTAACGGAGCAGGAAAATGTGAGATTTGCTAAAGGGACAAGAAGGGATTGGTTACAAAGGGGGATCCTCACCCACCTCAAACCAAGAGCATGGCCCTCTACGGAAGGATGTGCCAACACTTGGAGACTTCAGGACGAAGTGCCTGAGAAGGTAAAACCGAAATTTAACGAGACAAGAAGACACGGGGGAAGGACAGAGTCAAGACAGGACTACGAACCGGGCCAGAGGGTGGCTGCGGAGTCAAAGTGCAGCCTCCGTCCAGAGGCCCTCCACACCCTTGCCAAACGCAGAGCGGGAGGGGCCCAGACTTGAGAAGGGGGCTCCCATTTGGGATTAGCCCCCTCCCCGTACATCCCACCTTCCCCGGCTTCAGCCAAATGGGAGCACAGATGTGTGGCCGCAGCAGGCCCCGCCGCCCCCCTCCTTGGGAACCAGAATTGGGGTAGAGTTTTTCTCACCTGCACGTGAGGCTCGAGGGCCGGGGCAGTTGGCACCCGGGTGTGGGGCCGCCCCTGGCCATATGGAATGACTTTATGGCCCGGTGGCCGGATCCAAGGGAGAGAAAGAATGGCCTGGTGCTCCACCCACCTCAACCATGCTTTACAAACCCTTTCTACGCTTAGAAGCTTGAGCAAGGCTCGCTCCGCCTTTGACAAGTTCAGATACATCCATTTGCAGAGTTTTTCTCGCCTGCATTGGTGGTTCAGTGGTAGAATTCTCGCCTGCCACGCGGGAGGCCCGGGTTCGATTCCCGGCCAATGCACGACTTACATTTTTCTTTCCCTCGAACTAAGAAGATAAGGTTGATGACAAGCATCTATTTTAGCTTAAACTTTTCAAACAACAGTGAAAATGTAGCGTTTTGGTTTTGTGGTCGCCTTGGGAGCTCCGGAACTAGTCCCTGACTCCGCAGATCTGTCCCCCCCGACCCCACCCCACCCAGCCTGGGAGGTTCTGGCTGCCTGGACACACCCACCCACGTCCGCACCTCCCGAGGCGCAACCGTGAGAAAGGACACGGAGCTGGGATCCCTGCCCAGGGGTCCTCTCCGCGGGGGAGGCCAGGTCTCCCGAGTCTTTCCCTCTTCCTCTCGCTCCCTCTCATTTTCTGTTCTGAAGCGGCTTTCTGCTTTCTGCTGCGCCTTTTCCCCAGGTCCAAGGACCTGGGCATGACAGCCTTCCGGTCTTTCGGGTCTCTGAGTGCTTCTCAGCGACTCCAGCTCTCTGATTTCCTTTCCCCCCAGGTCTCTAGGCGACTTCTGCTAGGGTTCTCCTGGTCGAGGGTGGTCTCTGCTGACTCTCGCGTCCCTCTGCTGCTCCCTCTCTGCGCCTCTCCCGGCTGTCTTGTCTTCTTTCCTGGTCCCTGTCGCCTCCGGGAACCCTGCGCTCCCACGCTCGCACCCCCGGTTCCCCGCGGCTCCCTGGCCCGCCCCTGGCCCCGCAGCTTTGATCCCGCACGCGCCGCGCCCGGGGAGGGCGGGACCCGGCACGGCCACCTGCCGGGGCCACTTGTGAGCGACCCGGGGGCCCTGACGCCCCGCGCCGGCTTTCCGCTCCCCTCCCGAGAGCTCCGCCGCCCTCCGCGCCCCTCCTCCCGGCCTTCTCAGGTTCTCACAGTCTGAATTCCGGTTTAAGCCTTCCTCTCTCTCCTCTCTCTGTCCCTTTCAGCCTGGTGGGTCTCATCTCGGATTTGTGTCAGTGACAACGCTCCCTTCTCAGTGCCAAGCAGGGGCCATGGCCCCAGGAGAAAAGTAAACAATCTTGGCATCTCTACGAGCCCAACTGGTGCATTTGCACGCTCAGTCCTAGATCTGTGTGTGCTTGCCAAGTGCCTACTGTTGTTAGGCACTGGGGTTACACTGGCCCTGAGCTCTCCTGAAATGCGCATTATTGGCGGTGTGGGGACAGGAAATGACCAAGAAGGCAGAAAATAGAATAGGATAATTTCACGTGGTTGTAAGGATAATTGCAATGGCGTGGCAATGGAGTGCTTAGTCAAAGTGGTCAGAGGCAACCTCTCGGTGGTGATGCTATCTCAGCACGGTCACCCATGCGTCCAGGCAAAATGAATAAAAGTCCAAGCCCTGTTGAAAAGAGATTTTTTTTTTTTTTGGATGGGAGCTAAAGAAAGAACTTAGAATGAGATCTACATGAGCAAACTGGGGGTGAGGGGGGTAATAGAAGGCAAGGGTCGGGGGAAAGAGAGCTTAGGGGAGCGGGAGGTCCCAGCTGGATCAGGAATAGAGTGGGAGAACAAGGAAAGAGACACCACAATAAATGAAGACCCCAAGGGAACAGGAAGAAGCAGAGTGCTAGAGAGGTCCCCAGAAATCCACAAAGATACCTCCACAATAGACTACTGGCAATGGTCGAGAGAGTGCCTGAGCTGACCTACTCTGGTGATTGGATGGCCGAATACCCTAACTGTCATGATAGAACTCTCATCCAGTATCTGATGGAAGTGGATGCAGAGATCCACGGCCAGGCCCCAGGTGGAGCTCCAGGAGTCCAACCAGTGAGAGAGAGGAGGGATTGTATGAGCGAGAGATACTGAGACCATGATTGGAAAAAGCACAGGGACAAATAGCCAAACTAGCGGAAACACATGAACTGTGAACCAACAGCTGAGGAGCCTCCATGGAACTAACTGGACCAGGCCCTCTGGATAAGTGAGACAGTTGATGAGCTTGAACTGTTTAGGAGGCCCAGGCAGTGGGACCAGGACCTGTCCTTGGTGCATGAGCTGGCTTTTTGGAACCTAGGGCCTATGCTGAGACACTTTGCTCAGCCTTGGTGCAGGGAGGAGGGGACTGGACCTGCCTCAACTGAATCTACCAGGCTGGGCTGACTCCCCAGGGGAGACCTTGCCATGGAGGAGGTGGGAATGGGGCTTGGATTGGGGGGAAGGCTGGGCGGTGGGTAGAGGGAGGACAGAGGAATCAGTGGCTGATATGTAAAATTAAATTAATTATAAAATAAAAATATTTATTAAAAAATTAATTAGAAAAAAAAGAAAGAAAGAACCTAGAACAGAGAATTGAGGGGCCGAGGATATAAGTCGGGCATAACTCATCTCACAGGATTTTGGAAGCCTTAGAAGATCTTGAGGATTAGTCTAAGTGCAATGGAGAATTCGAGGCCAGCTCTGGCAACAAGACCACTTTTGAGGTGACATCCTAGCTTGAGAAAATGTTCTTTTAACGAAGTGTAGCAATCACAGAGCACCTATGCCACACTCTCTCAATGGGAAAGGGGTCTTGCTTGCCACTGCGGCTCATTCCCCACCCCCCACTGGCGTCAACCCACCCATCTCCAATCCCCCCCCCATCACTGTTATTCCCATTGGCATCAGAAGTGCTATAGGCCATTTGATGAGAAACGTGTGAAACGCTCATTTTGAAAAGTAGAAAAATAGACCTATGGGTTTAAGAAAATAAGCTTTCTCGGTGGCTGAGGGCCTGTTCCAGAACTTCAAGTGCATAAGCTGATTCACCATGATGCTAATGAAATTGAGGAGCCCCCTAACAGAATCTGGGGGAGGTTCCAGCAAGGTGTTCATAGGGCAATAGCATTCTGTAAATTGCACATACACACAAAGAAAAAGAAATACGCAACTAGGAAGGCAGTCTGTGGAGAATATTGTGAGGGTTTGACAGGCGTCAGGGTACCTTTCTGGTGTTTGGCAATGTTTTGCTTATTAAGTATTAGTTATGGTTATAATCATCATTGTAACTATTTTTGAGACAGGGTCTTGCTTTTCCTTGCCATATTTTACTTCACTAACAGTTTGTCAGATTTTTTCCCCTCATATTAAGGATTGAACCCAGTTTCACCCTCTATTTGTCAGCTTTTTAAATATGTAAATTGTTGTGTTCTTACATTGTTCTAAATATTACTTATTATGCCTGATTTTTTTTTCCTTTCGAAAATTATATACACCGGGTGGTGGCACTTGCCTTTAATCCCAGCACTCTGGAGGCAGAGTCAGGCGGATCTCTGAGAGTTAGAGGCCAGCCTGGTCTAGAGTGTGAGTTCCAGGACAGCCAGGGCTACAAAGAGAAACCCTGTCTCCAAAACAAAACAAAACAAAAAGTATGTTCTTTTTCAGGCCCTTAAAACCTAAGGTTACCCTCTATGAGACAAGTTGAATGAACTGAGTAATTTGACTCCAACTCCTTGCTCTGG